GGACGAAAGAAGTGAGTATTATTTTTATTCAGTATAGTAATTATGATCAATAAAGTTGATACGAAGCATTTATTCTTTGTAAGTAGTTTGAGAATTTTACTTGTGAATTTATCCAACATTTTATCTATTACATATCATTAACTCAATTTACGTATATGAATTTACATAATTAGAATTGTTGTAAAATAAACTTTATACTATATACTTGTTAGTTTGTAAAAAGAGTAACTTAATTTAAATGGTATTAGTCAGAACGCGTGTTGTGCTATTATATACAAAACGTTTATTCGTAGAAGCAAAAATTTATCTATTGGTGAACGAGTTACGTAAGATAGTTTCCTTCATCGGAAGTATTATATGCGGCGCGGCGTAAGGTTTCGCATGCACTTTACTACTTGCTGATTGTGAAGTATACGTTGAAACAAAAATAAGGAACTTATACACTTCGCAAATAATAAAAGAAAAAATTGATATTTAATTTTTTAATGTATATATAATTTACATAAATTGTTTATTAAATAATAATTTAGAAATTATGTAGCACCTATTAAATATTGTATTAAATATTAAAATTAAAAGATTGAAATTTAAAGACTAAAATTAAAAATTGTTCGTATATCAAATTAAAAAATTTAAAGATTGTTGGAGGAATTGAATCTGAAAATAATACACGGATTATATTTTTTAATTGATTATAGTATAAATGCATAAAATTGGATTTGTATTGACAATTTTTTAAATACAGATACTTATGTAACGAAACACTAAAACTAACTAAAGAAACCAGCACGAAGCGAAGACAAAGTAATCGAGCAAGATTTTAAGATTTCTTGATATTTTCCGTTTAAATAACTTAATAGCTAAATACGTTTATATTGAAATCTATCTTTAACTTGACTATTATGCTAATACATTAATCGGTCCGACGATCAGATCCCAATGCAGACTGAAATGTTTTCGTTCGTTTATGTATACACAAGTTAAACTGAAAATATCTTGTGATAAATATAAGATTTCCATCAACAGAGTGCTACAGTTTATTTAACGTGACTATTTCCATAGTCTCTACGCACTGTTATGCACATCCTGTTTTGATACAAGCTGATATTTTTTATTCATACCTAAATATGTAAATTTATATAAACTGAGTTAATGATATATAATATAATAATTTTTTATTATCGTACTATTAAAGAGAAGTATTTGTGTGTATATGTAAATAATAAATTTAATAATTTCTAATTGACTTTTTATATACATCTTTCAACAACAAAATTGTTTCTAATGAAAAGTTGAATTTTTAAATTTAGTGCAAATAAATTATTGTACACTCTACATGTGCGTGTATAAATACTTTAATAATATTATGAACTTATGATTTACATCTAAAACATATTTTTGTTTAATGAAATCAGTAGAACGTTCTTTGTAATTTCAATGTAATTTTCATTTTATTTTTAACCATTAATAATAATTACAATTTATTATTTATATTTTATAAAGGGTATGAAAGGTTTATGTGTAATAATGAAAGAGCTCTCGTCTTCGCAAGAAGGGAACACCATAAAACAGTTTACCATTGCTGTTATTTGCTACTTTGAAATTTTTTAATAGAATGCGAAATCAAAGTTTGCGGTTTCCTTCATCCGTACAGTGGAAAGGTGCGACCTCGCTGGAGACTTCCGTTGTTCTATTTTTACATTCTACCGCTTGAGATATTATAGGAACAGGAGAAAATATACGAGTGTGTGAAGGTGTCAGAAGTTTTCAATAGGATGATTTTTTAAACAACTGATAAGTATTTTATTATGCGATCAAAAATATATCGCGATTTTCAATTTTCTTCCTTGAACGTTTTGATATTTTATTTATTCTGGATGATAAATTACAGATTTTTTAAATAATTTTCTTCGTACAATTCTAGTCCATTTATATTTATCAATACTTCTTATCATGTCGTTCTTATCTTTCCTCTCCATTTATCTTTTTTTTACCACTTTCTCTATGTCTATTCGCTCTTCTGTTGAGGTCGATCGACTTCCGCCAAAATCAATACAAGCCGTCTCCGTTATACCATCTCACAGAAATGGTATGGTCTGATTTCTATACTGGATAGTGTTAGCGTCTGCGCGCTACTAACGCAGCCGATTTTTCTAACCGAATGTCCTACATTTCAGTTCGATCTTACAGATTTTGGCAAGTGACAAAAAGTTTTTGCAAAGTAACGAGATTTGTAGTCCGACGGCGTATTACAAATTAGCTGACATAATCAGTTGTTATGAATTACCACTTACATTATCATGTCCTAGTACTAATAGCAAACTGTCGGTACACATCGTTGTATTCCGTATCGTATCGATCGATATCTCGGGAAAAGCCATGGAAATGTTACGTTACCGTAGCGACTTGATGAACGTGTAGTCATCAGCAGCCATTGACATTAAGAGCTATTGATATACATACAACAGAGAGTTGATTACTATTTCTCTTGTATATTAGCTTACAGTTGCGATGTTTAGAATTAGGTAGAAAATTAAAACTTTACACTCATGTTTTCCTTATCTTTCAAAAGATTTTACAAACATATTCAATTTATCTTATCAACTTTAATTTTGATATGTTAAGTTTTCTTTTTCTATTTATATATGTTACAAAATATGCTATAATTAGTAAAAATATTATTATTATGTATATAATACTATATAATTTATTAATAATGTTACATAATATTAAAATTTTTTAATATTACTATATATTATGTACGTCTCGAAAAGAATAATTATATTAAAGAAGAAATAACTTATAAAAATAATAAAGATTAACTTATATATATATATATATAAAACTTCTTACGAGAAGTAAAGTATTTTGCTTTCAGAATTGCTAGTTATTATACATACTATTTTCCCTCTAAAAATATTTATTTATTAATATAATCACTTTTAGATATAAACGAGAAAAATAGAATGTCATAAATGTCCACGAACATGTGTTTGTAATTGGTTTATAACTTTTGTAATTATCCATTTAATTACAGTGTGAACACATTACAGTTCAATGCAATTATGACGGCGCAAGCTTCATACGATTATGCGAATGAATATATGTATACATGTGTATTACTGTTCAGAAACGAATAACTAGTGATAGAACCAAACAAAAAAATTTTTTATTTAAAAACGAAATAATTTTTTTCTAATCTCTCTGTTTTTATACTTATATTTTTTAAGATAAAATGAAACACAATTCTACTTTAGAAATAATTTTATTTGTTAAAATAAAACGAGAGAGGAAAGATAATTTGGCAATGTCATTTATTTACCGAATTAGTGAATTATAATAGAGTGTACTCACAAAATTAAATATCACGTTTAAAAATATTCTTTATAAGAAAAAGGTTTTAAAAATTTATATACATTATAAATAAATATATATTATAAAATTAATTTAGAAAAATTTTTAATCTTTTATCTCTAAAAAAATTAATTTTTATAAAGTTGCAATTAATATCTTCAATTTAAACTATTTAGAGAATGCATCGATCTCTTGGAAGATATCATCGCTTTGCGTGCGTAAGAATATGTTCGTCAATGATTTGTAACAATCGCATGGCATCGCTTACCTAATATCAATTCAGGTCAATTAGACGCCAGATCATAATTGTCTCAGAGCTCCAGCCTTCAACTAACAAACGATAGCAACAATAGAAGTTACACTCATAAAATAATGCATATATTGTATAATATATATTAGCTTCAATATTTTAATTCTGAAGATTCTTAGATAATATATTCTACATATTTTGGTTTTTCATTAATTATTCTAATTATATTTTAACTAAATTATCAGTTTTTAAATTAACGTTATAACCGCATTTTTAATGAATATTTTAAAAATTAAAGCAAGCATTTTATTTCCTTATAAAATTGGAATTATATTAATTTATTTGCATTGTTTTGAAAAAATATAGAAAATTGTTTCGGCAGAAATAACAGTAATTGACACGTTAATATAAAAAACTTTATTGTGTCCCATCTTATAATAGATCGCGTGTTTTAAAAGTGCTAAGTTTGATTTGCGATTACGTAATAAAGCGCAGCTTTCGTGTTTCAACTAGTTTCGATCGATTTTATCGAATTAGCCTTGATTTTTTCATAAGTTGCGTAAGAAATAAAAACCTCTCGTTAATAGCAGCATTTAAATTTTTAGTTGAATTCAAGGTGCAAGTATTATTTGCACAAGTATTTCTGTATTTGTATGTAACATATAAATAAAAATAAAAATATTTCTAAGCGTGAAGAACGTATCTTGTGCAAAATTGTTATTTTAGTTTTTAATAGAAAACACATGATATTCTCTATTTGAATCTAGAAAAATAGACATTTAAGTTATTTGTAAACTAAAAGAAAAATTTTTTTTTATTTCTATAAATTTAATGGCATTGAGATTTATATAAGCAAATATATTTTCAGCTAAAATTTTGCTGTTCTACGTAATTTTCTATGCCGTCCTATCCGGCTTCTTCGGTGCGATGCTTGCTGTGTTCTATCAAACGTTGGATCCGAACGCGCCGAAGTGGCAGCTAGATAATTCGCTGATTGGCAGCAATCCGGGTCTCGGTTTTAGGCCTATGCCTCCTGAAAGCAATGTTGAAAGTACTTTGATCTGGTACAAGGCTAGCGACGAGGGTAACTATCTTCACTGGACCAGAGAATTGGACAAATTCTTGGAAGGTAAAAAAGATACACTTTTGAACGAAGTATATGCACAATCTTAACATATATAGCATCACAAAATTGATTATATGTATACAACAATTATTTACAACTAACTAATATAAAGAAGGCAATCGACGAAATCGGTCTTTCAATATCAACATAAATATGTGAAATCGAGTTATAATTATTCTAGAAAAGCATTTGTTATTTTGAAGAAATATTGTTCAACCAATGTATTACTCAGTTAACTATTGAATCACACATTTATTAATTAACTGATATGGAATTAATATCACTTTTTAAGATGTAATTTTTATACAATACAGAATATCAAAGGTCTCCTCCGGGTGCGAATAGTTTTGACAGAATAAATTGCGAGTATGGTAGACCAGCACCACCAGGCAAAGTCTGCGATGTAGACATGACGAATTGGGGACAATGCACGAAGAATAATAAATATGGTTATAGCAGATCAGCACCTTGCATCTTCTTGAAACTGAATAAGGTTTGTATGTACTTTTTATGTAGCTCACTAAACATTCATAGAATTTTAGCACCTCTTTAAGTTAAAATTTCATTTATATAAGATCAGGAAGAAAAATCGAATATTAAACTGATAATTTTTAATTTTTTATAAGCTTTTTCTCTTCTATAATGTATCAACAAGAAAAAGTAATTAAGAATATTTTAAAATTTTATTGATTTATTGAATTTAAAATTTCTGTTATTATATTTTAGCATTTTGACTGAAAAAATCAATTTTTAGGAATATATGTAAAATACAACATTAACTTTGCTGTTTCTCAAAGACACGTTTATTATTTTAATAAACAACAAAAGACAAAGAGTCCTTTATTATATTTTTTACTATTTTAAATTTCAAAAGCAATTAAATTGACTAGGTACATTAATCATATAAAGAGATGTCGATTTAATAAAATCATATGTTATATAAATTTATTTTAGATTTTTGGATGGGAACCGAAATTTTATAACAATACTAAAAATTTACCGGCTTTGATGCCAGCGGATCTTAAGGAGCATATCAGACAAGAAGAAAAATCCAATAGACTGGATACTGTTTGGGTATCTTGCGCTGGTGAAAACCCTGCCGACGTAGAAAATATGGGTGCAATTCAATACATACCACGTCGAGGTTTTCCTGGCTACTACTTCCCATTTAAGAATACCCAAGGATATTTGAGCCCTCTTGTAGCTGTGTTCTTTGAAAAGCCCAAGTGTACGTATAATATACGTTAAATTTCATTTTTCAATATTATATAATATATTCGAAATACAAAACAATAATGTAGCTCTTTTATCTTTCAACATTTCAAATTCAACTTAAATATTTAAAAACCGGATAAATTCTCTTGTTTATTAAAATTTATAAATTGGAAGTCAATGACTGTGTTCAGTAGAAAAGAGAAAACTTATTAATGAGCGCTTAGTGATTCTTTAATATGATTTACCTTTAATTCTTTTCTGGATCTAAGTATAAGAGTCAATATTAAAGAATCACTGAGCACTCATTAATCAGAATTATCCCCGGCTAAACGCAGCCATTAAGACTAACATAAGACTAACGTATAGAAATGAAATAAAATTAACATCTATCGATTTTGTTACAGACGGCGTACTTATTAATATCGAATGTAAGGCATGGGCGCACAACATCATCCACGACAGATTTGAGAGACGTGGCTCGGTGCACTTCGAATTGATGGTGGACTAAGCCCGGTCAATCGCCAGATCATTATCGCTACTAACCGCGTCCAAGTAGGAAGCCGCAAGAGAATAGAACAGAAAGAAGACATTTCTTTTTTAACCTGCCTCGTTGGCCGACCGCGATCACACCCTGTACCATCCGGTTTTCTCTCTGCCCGACGATACCGTTCCGGATTAGCCTTACTTCTTCTCACTATCATCATTTCATCACCTCATCGTCTTCGTCGTACTTACAACGATTGTAAACGTTATCCATCTATCATGTCAATTGCCAAGAGAAGGATAAAAAAGGGAAAAAAGGAAAACGGGAAGACGAAAGAGATAAAGAGAAAGGAAAAAGAAAAAATGAACAAAAGGGAATAGCAACATAAACGAGAAAATAAACTCAACGAAGCAATCAACTACACTCGAGATGCACAAAACCAAACGGGAAGGAAGAAAGGTGAAATGAACAATCCCGCACAAAAGCCGGGCGGTATCTTCTCTTATTTCTGCCAGGGTTGTGTTACGGGGAGTGATCTCGACCATCGACGGCTAGTCGATCGTTCGCAAAACTTAATTCGCGCGCGAGAGAGAAAGAGAGATAGAGAGAGAGAGAGAGAGAGAGAGAGAGAGAGAGAGAGAGAGAGAGAGAGAGAGAGAGAGAAAGAGAAAGAGAGAAGTTTTCCCTTAGTTAAAAACCCACCGACCGTTCCAGTTAGATATCTTGAGCTTTGCGTCACACACATTTCTTTTCACAAGGACAAGCTCAGCCGATTGTCATGGCACTGCGGATGATCGATGACTTTAGTTCAGCCATGTAGATGTATTACATTAGTGTGTTTTGCCCATCGCGTTATGATACATCTTGGCATGTTAGTATATTGAAATTTTTGGGCATTGGTAAGAGAAGTGGTACTTGGAATTTTAATAAATGACAGTAGGTACAAAGGAATACAAGTACGTGTTAGATTTAGTTGGACTTGCTGTTAAGTAACAATGATAAACGTTACTTGTAACGTTATTTAAAACTTTGAGTGACGTTAATAATGTGTCAAGAGAAAATTAATTATATTCGACGCGAAATTGTTTATCGAATTGTTAAATAAAATTATAAATTATGTATAAAGTTGCTATTTCTATTCAAAATTTTTTCCAAATATTGATACTAATTAAACAGATAACATTTTTATAAAAATGGAAATTTTGCTAAAAATTTCACCGAAATTTATAACTGCTAAACTGTAACAGTCATCATGTTTTTATTTTAGTAAATTGCGTTACTAAAATCGTCTTAACGTATGTTACGTTTACAGTATGATAGAGATTGCATTATATAAGTGCAATATAAGTGGAAATTCTATTTATATCTATTTAAACCCATATTCATATGGATACGTAAGTTGTATTGTATGTTGACAATTGTTACTTGTATTCCTTTGTTCCGGATATTTTCAATTGAGAGTTAAAATTAAGTGTTATCATATTGAAATCTGCTATGGTGTATGGTGAAAGAATATAAACAAAGATACGAATATTAAAGAGGCGATCAATAGTTATTGCCACACAATAATATGTTGAATGTGTATGATGATCTATGATTCTATATAATGCATTTTTCATGCGATAGAAATTCTTGGAATCTATGGATTCTTGCATCCAGAGACTCTCGGATTCACAGATTGTTGAATCTACTGATTTTTGAGCTCATAAATACTCGGATTTACTGATTTGGACTTTAAAATTTTTTTATTTTGGAGATTATCAAAAGAGAGAATATATTTCAATTTATAAATGGTATATGAACAAAAATGAAGAGAATTAGTGACAATGATTTTAATTAATAAATTTTACATTCAGGAATTTATTCATACGAATCCAACGATCTGTACGAGTTGAAAATTTTTTCAAGGATCTATGAGATTTTAAAAGTAGAAAAAAGTGTTAATCTTAAATTTGCACGAATTTATGAAGTACGACTTAATTAGGAAATTTATACAAATTTTTTAATTTAGATGTATTTTTTAATTTAGGTAAATTAAAAATTTAATGTTTAGTAATGATATATGAATTTAAAGATCTCTTGATTAAAAAATTTACAAAGTAATAGAATAGAATTAATAAAAAATGAATTTTTTGGAACGAATATTAGCATGAAAAGTCATGAAAAATTCAAGATTTTGTATATCCGAGTTTGTATGCGTGCGCGAAGATGCAAAAATATAAGAAACGAAGATACGTTAAGATGCATGAAATATAGAAATGCAGATCATGATATGTAAACTTAAAGAATTTATGAATTCAAAGATTTATGTGATATCAACGATCTGTACATCTAAGACTCTATGGGCCCAAAAATCTTCTTATCTGAGGATATATGAGGGCAAAAATCTATATACTCAGGAATCTATAAATCAACAGCAAGAATCAACAAGAATCTACAGATCTGAAGATCTGTGCGTGGACCTAAGAATTCAAATTAAAAAATTTACGAATACAAAAAATTTCTAAATACAATAATCTGTAAGTCCAAGGATCTATTGATTTTGCTAATTAATGTTTAATTTGCGATTTGAGAAATATTTTAGTTGTATAAATATGTAGAATAATTATTGCAACACTATCAGGATGGTATTGACAAGATACATTGTAATAATAAAAGGAACTCTCACATGCGCGTTTAGTACTTACTGAATAAGATTCCGCGAAAACCGCTATAAAATTACTGGAAGGAGAAATTTTAAAGTCTATACTTGAAGAACAATTTTCAAAGAGCACTCGCGATCAGTAATTACTACATTTATAGTGATAGTACGAAAAATGTACATTGATCGTATACTAATAATATAAATATGTTATATTAATGATATATAATATATCGAAATAGCTAAAGCATTAAAATTGTTGAAGTATTAATAGTAATACTGATCGTGGTAGCTCTCTCCATAAGTACTTAATTCCAATCTCAACAATTAATTTCTGTACTTAAGCCAAAAACATTATTTGATCTTAAACTAAACTGTCGATATATTACAAATGGGCGTTTAGTCGTGATCAACATAAAGCGTTATATATATTGTGCACACAAAAATTTATATTGGTTTAAAACTATGCGGCGCGATATGAAATGTATATTATTTATATTTATATTGTATCATATAATATTGTATCATTTAATATTAGTTCACATAATCTTGTATCCTATAATTTGTTAAGTTCTGCGGCTGAGAAAAAGAACTGAACCGTTTTTTTTCTGCATTAATACGATATTGTATTTGGACAGAAGAAAATACATTCCGGAGATCTAAATGATCGAGATGTTAAAAAAACGAATGTTAGATTAATGACACGAGCATCTCCTGATGGAACTTAAACCTGAAGAAAACGATGTATCAAATTTTATGTACAAGTAATTTATGTAGTTTTATTAGGTTAATTATATTGTGCGAATAATATGTATCACAGTAGATAAGTATCGGTTATATAAAAATATAGATCTTGAAATCCGTAAATCTGTTAATCCATAGATTCACTGATTACACATTTAGCATCTTAAACCCTTGCTTCTATACGAATGTGTATAGCATCACAGCTTGATGAAAGAAAATAGATCCATGGATCTACAGATTCACAGATCCATCGATCCACACGTGCACAGGTCCATTTCGCAGATTTATAATCATTTCTTCATATTCCTTAAATCTATATTATTCGTAAGTTTTTAATTAATATCTTCATGATAGTTTTTAAGTCTATTAAGCGCCTGTTTGTTAAAATTCAGAATTCAATCAATCATGTATCTTGAGATATAAATTTCCTAACATTTATTCGAATAATACAAGCATCTAAAAAGATGTCTGTAAAATGTCCTTTTATAGACATCTTTAAGATTTTTTCGAAAAAAGGCGTTTTAAACATGTCGATTAAATATCTTACGACTTTCTGAAAAGTACGTCTCGTTTATTATGTCTTAAAGTTGTCTATTATACGACATTTTCCGGACTATGGAAGAAAGATGTTACTACAGTAATTATAGTAATTATTGTAACACGATCTATTAATTCCTCTGCGTATCGCGTGCCTAAAGTTTGGTGAAAAGCTTTAGAAGAAATTGTAATTAGATCGCGGGTTCACTCGACGTAACAAGCTCGACTTTCAACGAAAACCGCTGTGTCAGATAACATTTTTTTCCTTCCCTTCACGCTCTCAACTTTTTCTTTTACGAATATAATGCATGGTCGTCGAGTAGTGGGTGCCATTGACATCCGAAACATCCGTGGTCTAATTATAATCTATATCGGTTGGCAGTAATAGGGAATAATAAATAAAATGGAGACGCCTATTTTCTTAATATTATATTTCGTTCCCTTTTCTCTCCTATTTTTGAGCGACGCGCCAGCATGCATCTTTAACCCGAAGTTTTAATCTCGCGCATGCGCACTAGATATTCAGAATTAATGTCTGCCCATGCGCAAAAAATGATTTCAAAATAGTCTTAAATAAGAAGTATGTAAAAAGCTATTGCAATCTTTGTAAAATTACTAATGTTATACATTTTTGGGTTTACGAATCTTAAGTCTTAAAATTTGAAAAGCTGCTAGCAATCTTTTAAACAGATTCTTGAAGGATTCTTGCATTTTAAGATTTTTGAATATACTGGATAGATAGATGCACAGATTCTTGAATAATGTTCCATGGGCATTCTAAAATTTGAAAAATATTACACGGTAAAAAATGTGAAAGAAAACAGAAAAAGGATAAAAAGAAAATAAAATATCGAATTATAAATACATATATATGTATTACGGAAAAAATATGCTAATATGCTACACAAGGATGGCTATATGTTATTTATTATTGCAATCGATTTGTTTTTAATTGCTGAAATATAAAAATCAGATGAATTATGTGCAGATAAGAAAGGAAAGAAGAAAATTAGATGGAAAACGAAAAATGCGGAATTTGATATATGTATACATCAAAAAAAGAAGAGAAGATAAATAACAAGATAAATCTTTAACTATATATGTACACATCAAATTCAAGCTGATTGTGTTTAAACTTAGTCAACTATTCGGGATCGATAATCTGCTTTTTGAGATGCGCTTTTTGATTGAAACCGAGATCAAAAGACTTCTTTCTTTGCGATTCAAAATTTGAATATTTTGGTTATTCTGCATATCATTTATTATATACAACGCGATTAACAAATTAATATTTATCATTCAAGTGTAAATGTTGAGAAAATGTTCTAAAAACATCATAAAAGCGAGATAAATACAAAAAAGGACCTTGTAATACGATTCATTACGTATACTAATATATTAGATATATCAGTATTTACATAAATATCATATTATACATATATGTATGTATATCCATGTTGTGATTGAAGCTAAGCTGAATTTTAATATCCGAGCAATAGTGCTTTACATACAGCAGAAGAACGCATTACTTGATTAATAAAACATTTAATCAGATACCATTAGCAAATACATTTAAAAAGGTTGATATTAATTATGATATATATTATATATATATATATATATGCCTTTGTATTCTTGTTAGATACCGTTTGTTGTTGAATTATTGATAAGCTGTGTAGGATAAAGAGAGCGTTTAAGCAGTGTCTTATTACGTTATACATGTACATTGAGTAAAGCTTGTTTACGAATATGATAGATGTATGTAAAGATGTATAATGTTATTATAATTTCGCATTTCGCTACTTAATGAAAATACATGAAGTGTTTAGAGCGAAAATGTAAAGTTTATTTCATTAGGATACAATTTTGTATTCTACAAGTTATGAACTTAATTCATTCTCATTCTGAATGTTTCATATATACAGAATAATGCGCTAAAATTATTATCTTAATTTACATCAGTATTATAATCTCTCCAGAGAAAAATTAATCAAACAAAAGGTATAGACGGTTTCATGAGACACAAGTTGGATTAAAAGAACTTTTTCTAAGTAAAGACCATTCTGAGATCTAATTTCTTTTCAAATAAGAACAATTTGTGCCTTCTATGAAATAATGCGACTTTGTTTGAGCTATTTTTTTCTCGAAACAA